CCAAAAATGCCACTTTCTTTAGCCAAAACTCACACTTAGAGAATTTGGCATACAACTTCTATCTTCTAAGGGTACTGAGAACAACCCTCAAATGTTGCTCATGCTCTTCTCAACTCTTGGAATAGACCAAAATATCATCAATAAAGATGATGACAAATTGGTCTAAATACTGATGGAAAGCACGGTTCATCAAGTCCATAAACACCGCTGGTGCATTACTCAACCCAAACGGCATCACCACGAACTCGAAATGACCGTATCTTGTTCGAAACACAGTTTTAGCTACGTCAGACGAGAAAAGTTGTTTGCGAAATTCTCCAAATGCGAGTTCTGGCTCCAACGAGTATCCTTCCTAATGTGTATAGTAGTGGGGTGGTATGGGACAAAAAATAAATCCACTTGGTTTCAGACTTTGATTACTCAGGCAGGTATCGAGGTGGATCCTTCCAAGGTTTCAGCTGTTAAGAATTGGTCAGCACCGAGGAGTCCGTCCGAGGTTCGAAGTTTTCTCGGTCTAGCTGGATACTATCGCAGGTTCATCGAGGGCTTTTCCAAGATCGCCCTCCCTCTATCCCAGCTGACTAGGAAGTCTGTGAAGTTCGAGTGGATTGACCGATGTGAGTCGAGCTTTCAGGAGCTCAAGAGGAGATTTACTTCAGCACCGGTGTTGACTATTCCCGATCCTTCTCGGAGTTTCACCATTTTCAGCGATGCTTCGAGACAGGGCTTGGGATGTGTCCTTATGCAGGACGGCCAGGTCGTTGCGTATGCTTCCCGTCAGCTTAAGCCGCATGAGCAGAATTATCCGACGCACGACTGGGAGTTAGCAGCAGTCGTGCATGCTCTCAAGATTTGGCGACACTATCTTTACGGCGGTCATTGTGAGATTTTCACAGATCATAAGAGCTTGCAGTATATCTTTACTCAGAAGGAGCTCAACATGAGACAGCGCCGTTGGTCAGAGCTCGTCAAGGATTACGACTGCTCTATTCAGTACCATCCGGGAAAGGCGAACGTCGTTGCAGATGCCCTAAGCCGACAGGTGAGGGGTGATTTGACGTACGTCATTACTCAGCAGAGTTAGCTGATTCAGGAGTTTGCCCGGATGCAGCTTCAGGCGATTGATGCGCTTCCCATAGCAGTTTCGGGGAGTACCAGTGCCAGTGTTAGTGCTATGCAGCTTCAGCCGACGCTGAGAGAGAGAATCCGGCGAGAACAGGCTTCTGACGAGTTCATTCGTGTCATGGAGGCCAAGGTTCACGCCGGAGGCGTCGAGGGTTTCCAGCTAGGTGCCGATGGTGCCCTAGAGTTCAGAGGCAGGATCGTGGTTCCAAAAGTTGAGGCATTGCGGAAGGAGATTTTATCAGAGGCCCATACCGCACCGTATCTAGCCCATCCCGGGAGCACGAAGATGTATCACGACCTGAAGGGGTCGTTCTGGTGGCGAGGCATGAAGAAAGACGTCGCCGAGTTCGTCAAGAGATGTTTAACCTGTCAGCAAGTTAAAGCCGAGCATCAGAGTCCGATTGGCCTCCTACAACCACTGCCGATTCCGAAGTGGAAGTGGGAGGAAGTCACGATGGACTTCGTTACGGGATTGCCGAGGTCGTCTGAACATCACGATGCTATCTGGGTCTTGGTGGATAGATTGACTAAGGTCGCACATTTCTTACCCGTTTCGATGAGGATGTCCATGGATAAGTTGGCTGAGATATATGCCCGTGGGATCTTTCGACTCCACGGAGTGCCCGTTACCATTGTGTCAGACAGAGATCCCAGATTCGTCAGTCGATTCTGGCACAGATTGCATGAGGCGATGGGCACGAAGCTTGAGTTCAGTTCAGCCTACCATCCAGAGACAGACGGGCAGTCAGAGCGGACTATTCAGACGCTTGAGGATATGCTTCGCGCTTTAGTTGTTGATAAGGGTGCTCAGTGGGAGTCGTTGTTGCCGTTCGCAGAGTTCGCGTATAACAACAGCTATCATTCGTCTATTCAGATGGCTCCTTACGAGGCACTGTACGGTCGCAAGTGTCGTTCCCCTCTCTATTGGGACGACGTCGGAGAGCGACGAGTACTCGGGCCCCAGTTGATCGAGGAGACAGCAGATCAGGTCGAGTTGATCCGGCAGAGACTCAGGACAGCTCAGAGTCGTCAGAAATCTTCCGCCGACCATCATCGGCGAGACATTCAGTTCGAGGTTGGCGAGCACGCCTTTCTCAGAGTTCGTCCGGTTCGCGGAGTTGTGCGATTCGGCAAGAGAGGGAAGTTGCACCCTCGATTCATCGGTCCGTTCGAGGTTCTCGAACGAGTAGGCGAGGTCGCGTATCGTTTAGCCCTACCTCCCGAGTTATCAGGCATTCATAATGTATTTCACGCATCGATGTTGCGTAAGTACGTGTGCGACCCCGATCATGTTATTCCTCATTCAGATATTCAGGTTCAGTCAGATCTTTCGTACGAGGAGCGACCGGTAGCCGTTCTGGACCGTCAGGTTCGTCGGCTCCGGAAGCGAGATATTCCCCTCGTGCGCATTCAGTGGGATCGCCACAGAGCTACTTGGGAGGAAGAGTCCGATATTCGCGCTCGTTTTCCCGATTTTCAGTTTTGATGTATTTTCATGGTTGTATGTTCAATTATGTTCTGAATTTCCGAGGACGGAAATTTTGTAAGGAGGGAGGATTGTAATATCCCGACTTTGTATCAGTATAATAATATTTTAGTTCCGATATTATTTTTCGGAATTAATTAATTTCAGTTATTTCACTCGGAATTACCGAAAAATATTTTCGACGTACCGTTTACGTTCAAAATAATTTTGGTAATTAAGTATTATGCTTAATTGATAATTAAGCAAGTAATGGTGATTAATTGATAATTGATCCCAATTGGCTAAGTAAAGCCGTGAGTATTGTACTAAT